ATTTAGTGCTCAGTTCTGATAAAAATATTAATTGTAGATGATTTTAACATCCAGATGTTGAAAATCAGTGACAGTAGCCTTTACATTTAGAATAATGGATTACACATGAGGACTCATCACAGCAGGTGTCTTTCTGAAAGTGCTGTAACTACGTTTAAGGATCTGCTGTTAAAAAAAGTCTCAAATAAGAAGTGGTCATGGGCCGGCTGAGTCATCTGGATTTTTCCATGGTGTCCCTGTGGTCCCGCCTCTGGGCGGAGCCCTCGTCACTACACCTGTTATACTCACCTGTGGGAGATCCAGGCCAATCTGCAGGCAGTATTTAAGACTAGAAGAGGAATCAATCTGTTTCACCGTCCCCAACTGCAGCTTCTCCATACCTCCATTAACAACCTCTCCCTCTGTTCATCGAGCCCCCTCCAAACGTTCACTGCTGTGCCTTAGTTTTACTGTCACTGTTACACACTGAAGGAGGACGAGGTTCATCCAGGTGCACGCTGAGGTTTATTGCTCTGAAACACAGCAAAACAGCCGTTCTGTGTTACTGACGGCTTCTGGTACCATAACTGGCCTGTGGTACTTTTGTAAGGGATTACTGGGCCAGTCACTTATTTGTCAGAGTGACTGTCTGCCACCTACTGGTTACTGAGTTAAAGCAGATGACTCGTAAGCTGGAGAGGAAATGACGTGTCACAAATTTAGAGGATCATCATTTAGCCTGGAGAAATAGTTTGTTGCTTTATAAGAAAGCCCTCCACAAAGCCAGAACATCTCACTACAACCCTAAGAACAACCCCAGGTTTCTCTTCAGCTCTGTAACCAGGCTGACAAACAGTCAGAGCTCTGTTGAGCCAACCATCCCTTTAACACAGAGGTGGGGGAACTCCAGGCCTCAGGTCCCGAAGGTTTTAGATGTGTCCTTGATCCAACACAGCTGATTTAAATGCTAAATGACCTCCTCAACATGTCTTAAAGTTCTCCAGAGGCCTGCTAATGAACTAATCATTTGATTCAGGTGTGCTGACCCAGGGCGTGTTATCTAAAACCACCAGGACACCGGGCCTTGGTACCTGGAGTTCCCCACCGCTGCTTTGACGAGTAATGATTTCATGAACTTCTTTACAAATAAAATGTAACCATTACTGAAATAAAAAAGCCAAATTTGATAACTGTTGATATTTTAGACTCTTTCTCTCTGATCTTTCTGAGTTAACTTCAATAATTACTTCCTCCAAACCATCAACGTGTCTTTTAGACCCATTCCTACAAAACTGCTCAAAGAAGTCCTGTTATTATCAAATCAAAATCAAATCAAATCAATTTATTTATATAGCACTTTTCACAGGATAAAAACC